CCCATGTCTGTGAGCTCCACAGCCAAGAGACTTTGAAGCTGCTCAGATCATATGGAACAAAGACTGACTGACCAGCCACTCCAAACACACTATGCTTTTAAACGAGAGAAAGAAATACAAAAAAAATAAAATAAAGTGGGAGGGATGGAGGGGAAAAAGACAAAAAGATTGACCTAAATATACCTCATATCATTAAATCGTTAAAAAAAAAAAGAAGCAGGGACGTGTTTTATGTATGTAGTGGAAATATTTGTAGTATAGGTTCGACATATTGTATAATCATTTAACACTGCCTGTGTTTACAATTATAGAGCAAAAGACTCATCAAAAATGCAAGATGTATTATTTTTCTTTTTCTGTAAAAACATCCACACCGAGCAGTGTTGAGTTCTAGATGCCTCATAGATCGATCATTCTTCTCATGTTATATCCCTTATTTTTGTTACTTGCCATAATGTGTTTTGATATGATCGCTAGAAGGATATTGTTTACAAAAAAAATGTACAAAAAACACTAAAACTTTTTTTTTCCAGTATGCATGAAAACATTTTGTACGGCTTTTTTTTCTTCTTCTTCTGTCACCTCAGTACCAAATTTTGTAGCAGAAACTCCCCCATTCCTTTGTCTTATTTGTTATAGACCCCTTGTGGTATGATTTCCCAGACTGTACCTGTTATTGAGATGATGAACGGATTAGAGAAGCCAATAAAACTTTTTGTTACTAAGAATGTGTAGTGTCTCATTTTTCAGGTCTTTCAAGAAGATACCATTTTATAAAATTATAAATGCATTTTAACTTCAGAATGCGGATGTTTTTTTTTATTTTTGTCCATTTGAATACACCTACAATAATGTTAATGTGGGAGATGTTGCTACCATAAGATGGCGCTGTTTCCWACATTTTAATGCATCATGACAAACAGCCTGACTACACATTCAGATAAACTGATATGTTTTCTCTAAAATAACTTGGTGTTAGGCTTGATGGCTTTTTGACAATTTATTTGTTCTGCACAAATTGAAGGATCCTTGTGGCAACAGAGAAGTTGTATTTTGTCCATCAGTGCAGRGGTGCAGTGCAAGACGCAACTTTCTGAAACTGGCCAAAACTAACATGAGATAGATTTTTTTGTTTGTTTTTTAAAAAACGGAAAAGGATAAATTTAGTAGTCTTTCTGTCAATGATTTTACCATTATGTGATAAGATACTACAAGGAGTAAAACATGTTTAGATCAGCTAGTTTAATGGCCATTTCAATAATCTAACTCCAGCCACAGCATGATCTTCCTCTCAAAGCTATCTTTTTTTTTTCATTTTTAAGACATTACTGAGAAGAAGTATAGTAAGTTGATTAGATAAGTATATTAAAAACACACTGTATGCTTCTGCAGAGCTCAGTGTTCCAGTTTTTATTAAATTTGGTATAAGCTATTTTTTTCGTTTGCAAGAATATGGTATTTTCTTTTGTTCTAAAGTGTAAAAATGATAATCTTTTTCAAATTTACTGTATATTTTTAGTTTTATATTGTCACCCCTACTGGATGGAACAAACTCGAAGAGGCCCACGGACCACCAGTTGATAATTACAGTTGTGGCACATTTTGCAGCTCCAGACATTTTATTAGCCAACCAAATGGCAGAAATGGGTCCTTTGATAGTAAAGGTTGCAGAAAACCTGACTCAGAGCGATTAGACTGTTGTCACGCTTCACAGTGTTCCCAATGTCATCAAGCTGTGCTTTAGCTGTAGTTTTACCACAATAGTTAAATCATTTTTCTTAATTCTCAAAAAATGTCATCATCATCTGAAATAGGCTATAATTTTAGTCAACAAGCTCATAGCTGATCAGTGTCACATGCTCTAAAGCGTTTAGCTTACAAATCCTATAAAACACCTCACTCTGTCACCCAAGAGTCTTTTTCCTCTGAGTTCAGGGTCGAAGGTCGTCAGGAGCAAGGCCAGCCCTGTCAGCTCTACCTCAGCTCTTATCAGTCTCCCTCACTCCTCCTCGCACACAAACATCATGTTCTCACTTTAATTGCCGTCGTCATGCGCCCACCTTGCTGCCAGGAACCAGCCAGCCAGGTGGGGAGAAGGAAGGGCAGAAAGCAGAGGAGACTTTGGACTTCCACTTGTCAAGAAGAACGATTATTGCTCTGTGACTGCACCTTTGTTGACACGCCTCACAGCTTGTTGATTAAAGAAGGGTGAAAAACTGAAGCTGTGACAGACTGGAAGCAAGACATTTATTGTGACTACTTTTTAACGTGTGACCCTAACACGAGTTTTTTATGAAAAGTGAATATAGGCCTAACCTTTGACAATAAGTTGTCTGATYGAGTTTTAGGAGTTTTCGCAGCACATCTGAAGATTTGTAGATGGGAGTATTATTGGCATTGGCGATAACCCCTTTCAGTTCAATATAATTTAGATAACATTATTTTCCACCACAGATCTTTTTTTTTTAATCTGGTTACTTCCTGCTTGTAGTCCTCAGTTCTGGGACTGAAGACTTGGTTGGGTGTTCATTTGGATTGATCACTGTATGACAACGTATCATAATCATGATGTCATTGTGACTATGTTCATGGGAGAAAATGTCTCGTCACAGAGATGATGAGATCAGCAGTTAATAAACAATGAACATCTTACCTGTTGTCTTACAAGGGCGAGCAAATGGCTCGTCCAAGTGGGGTCATAACCAAAATGGATTATTTTAAAGCAGATTATGTCTCAACATTTTGTTGGTTCACGGTAGCATTATTTTGGAAACTGTCAACTCGGGGCTTGGATGGTTGCCGGGGGCGGGGCTGGCTCTCCATCCTCCCTGGTGCTGCTTGGTCTCCTGAGGTGTGGCTCTTGGTTCCTGTGGGTGGCCCCCTGGCCGGGGTGGCTGCTTGGTTCCGGAGGGTGGACGGCTGGGGGGATGCATTTGGTCATTGGCGGTGTGGTGGGGTGGTCATGGATGTGGCTTCTTTGCTGGCCGGGCGTCCTGGTGCGGCCCGGGCC